AGAGGAAGAAGAAGAGGACATACTCAGAGAAGTGAACCTGCTTGGTGGTCTTCGACATAGAAACATTGTGAAGATTCTGGGTTACATTCACAATGAGAGAGAAGTGATGATGGTGTACGAATTCATGCCAAATGGAAACTTGGGAACTGCTTTGCATTCGAAAGATGAGAAATTCTTACTAAGAGATTGGCTCTCACGATACAATGTCGCCGTCGGAGTTGTTCAAGGGCTCAATTACTTGCACAACGATTGTTTTCCGCCGATCATTCACAGGGACATCAAATCGAACAACATACTCCTTGATTCAAACCTCGAGGCGAGAATAGCGGATTTCGGATTAGCGAAGATGATGCTTCACAAGAACGAGACGGTTTCAATGGTGGCTGGATCTTACGGGTATATAGCACCGGAGTACGGATACACACTGAAGATCGACGAGAAGAGCGATATATACAGTTTAGGCGTGGTGCTTCTAGAATTGGTGACTGGGAAAATGCCGATTGATCCTTCGTTTGAGGAATCGATTGACGTGGTGGAGTGGGTTCGGATAAAAGTGAAGAAGAACGAGAGCTTGGAACAAGTGCTTGATCCGAGCATCGCTGGGGATTGTAAACACGTGATCGAAGAGATGCTTTTGGCACTACGAATCGCTCTTCTTTGCACTGCGAAGCTCCCGAAGGATAGACCGTCGATTAGGGACGTCATCACGATGCTCGCGGAGGCGAAACCACGACGGAAAAGTGTTTGTCACGGCGCCGGAGATCTGCCGGTTTTCAAAAATTCGCCGGTGGTAGGGCTGATTTAGAAGACGGAAACCGGAAGGGTATTTTTGTCATTCCAGCGGCTGTGGCTAGTTGTAACTTTTGGGTGAACCAGTGGGCTGACTGGATCAACCCATGTTTTCAGAACTCAACCAAATGACATGATTAAAAATTGTGTAATAGGTCCAATAATTTTATTTACGGGGGGCAAAAAGAATTCATAAACAAATATTGTAAATAAAATATTTTGAAAGAGAGAAACAATGTCAAAAAAGTATCAAGCTCCTATTTGCAGATTGAAAAACTATTATAATTCTTATAAATTCAATGTTTAAAATGTTTTATGATATTTGCATATTGAAAAAAAAACTATAAGATAGAAAACATACAATATTTTTAATAATTTTTAAATATTTGCATATAAATTATTATTACTGAGAATATAAAAATTTGTCAATTATAAAGTTATTAATTTACGAGTAATGTTACGAAATATATCAAAATAAATCTTTAAATTTTAACCGATAAGTTTATCATACAAATTAATTCAACTATTAATAAAACAGTTTGTAGGAATATAAATGGTTAAAAACAGTGGTAATTTAATTAATTTTTATATAGAAAATTGAATATATAATATGATTCAAAATATTTTTTTTTTCGTAAAACATCACTTACTATAAAATAAAAATATATTAGTTATTATCTCAGTTATAAAATATTTTATTTTATTAATCGTAATACATTTTATATTGGTCCAACTTACTTAAAAAAAGTTATTAATTTATTGTCTATATTAAATATTAGTTATATTAATTTATGGGTCAATAGTAAGAATAGTAAAAAAAAATTAATATAAGAAAAGTAACAAAATTAGTATATGTGGCTACAATATCAATCTTTAAATTTAGGTATGATGATTATGATTTTTATTATATATTTGTTTGGGTTATTGAATGCAATTTCCTTTAATTTACTGGTGAAAGAAAATCTGTAAAAAAAAAACCCCCAAACCGGTTCCATCCCAAGTATTTTTGTGGGTAGACAATCCGAAACCAAACAATCTCGACACGTCCTCACCGCCGCGAAACCGTTTCGATCCCGACTCTCCGTTGCCGGAGAGATTCCCCTACACCAGCCAAACCCTAGCAAGTTCTTTCGTGCACGCAGAGAGTGATTCTGCCTTCGCACTAGGATTCCCTCTCTTTGGTAAGCTTCCTCGCCGCAGCCTTATTTTGTCGTCCTTTCTGCTCGTGAATTTGGGTTTCGGCTCTCTCCTTGCTCCTTCATTTACGCGTATTTCTAGTGCTGAACTAGTTTCATTCTACTGCGTAAAGTATATATTCCGCTATGCTTGTGATGACTGAGAGTGGTTCGTAGATCTTGGAGTGTTTCAGTTTTTGCTGTGTCCGTAGATAATGAAGAAGGGTTAACCTGATCAAAGTCTTAGGCCAGAAACAATACCTTTCCATTGAATTAATTACTTCCTTTTATTAAATTTTGTGTTGTTGTTCTTTGATTTCATACTTTATGTGGTTAGGAGTTGTATGAATGCATATTCCTGTTATAGGTTTACATGTAATTTCAATTAGGATTCAGTGAGATCCTCTTCACAAATAAA